CCCCCTCCCCCTCCTCAACTACTTGAAATAAGTAAATCTTTGTTCGTCAAAATTGGGGTGTTGTAGTTAATCTATCTCAACTTTAACATTTTAACCCTATAAACTTTTCTCAATTAACCTCTCAAAACTAATATCGTTCAGTCGAATTCATTATGTGATAAGTACTTAACTTAGAAAGAGCAAAATATCTCTTAACCATAAAAGAATTAGCTTAGTTTTTGCTTGATGAAAGAAAAAAAATGAAGATTTAGAGGTAAAAAGAATTGTAAATTGGTCATAATCCTTTTATTATCGATTGAGAGTTTCTTTTTAACTAAAATGACGTTCTTCAACAGGACATTTTGACAAAATCACATATTAAAGTCTTTTACATTAAGGTTTTTTGTTAAGAAATGTGTAAAAGATCATGAGAGTTTTTATAAGGCACGCTAAGTCGAAAGATGTTTTCTAAAATCGCACCAAAGTTGAGAGGGGTTGTCGACAACACATCTATAGTTAAGGAGCTCTGTCAAATTAAATTAGTTGTGTTGTTTTTTTATTTTTTATTTTTTTTTTGAGACATTCCACATAGTTAAGTGAGTTTTCAAAAAATTAACTATTCTTTTAAATTTAGCTTACTTACATATTTGTTATTCAAATGTTTTATAATTCAATATTAGTCCCTAAATTATAAGCATTTTTAAAAAATTTAATAGAATAATATAGAATTATTGGAGATTTAAAATCAAAGGAATGATATCTAAATTACCTTTAATATTGCTCTTATAGGCAATATATGAAATATCAGCTGATATATCGCTATATCAACTAATATAAAAGGATAAAAACTTTATCTTTGTTATAATATACTAAAGAAATGAAACAAGAGACAAGAGACAAGAGAAGAAGAGAAATTATAATCCTTTATTCATCAATTCCATTTTCATACATCGTACAATTTATAGATACATGATAGAATACAAAAGGACATGAAATTAATAGTCCACATACAAAGTAATGTCCACATACATTTTGTCTTTTAGATATCAACAAAATGTCTTTTAGATTTCAACACTCCCCCTTGGACATTACTTCGAAATGTCAATGCCTCGTTAAAAACCTCGCTAGAAAAACCCAGTGGGATAAAAACTAGTCGAGGAAAAGAGTACACGACATTAGTAGATTCTTGTTGCATTAGTTGCCTCATTAAAAACCTTTAACTAAGAAAACCCTGTGGGACAAAACTTAGCAAAGGAAAAAAGAGTACAACTATAGATCTTCGGGATCCAAACTTGTGTTGCATTAGTTGCTTCATTAAAAACCTTTAGCTAAGAAAACCCTGTGGGATAAAACTTAGCAAAAGGAAAAAAGAGTACAACTATAGTCCTTCAAGGCACAATCTTCGGGATTGCGTTGAAAATTCGCTCCCCCTTATGATGACAATCTTCTGAGTCTATGTTAAGAAAACCCAGTGGGACAAAACTTAGCGAAAAGGGGCAAATTATGATAATAGACCTTCAGGACCCAATCTTCAGGATTGTTCTTTAAGAATTTGCTCCCCCTGAAGAAGATAGTCTTTCAAGTCTATGCATATTGTGAACATATTTCTCATAAGTTAATGTAGGCAGAGATTTAGTGAACAAATCTGCAAGATTGTCACTTGAGCGAACTTTTTCGATGGTGATTTTGTCATTCTTTTGGAGCTCATGTGGATAAAAGAATTTTGGCGTAATATGTTTTGTCATGGTTCTTTTTACATATCCACTGTTCATTTGTGCAACACAAGCTGCATTGTCCTCATAAAGGATAATGGGGGTAATATCATCTTTCGCTAGACCACACGAGCCACAAATATGTCGTATCAACGATCTTAATCATACACATTCTCGTGAGGCCTTATATAAAGCAATAATCTCTGAGTGGTTAGAAGAAGTAGTCACCATGGTCTGCTTAACAGACCTCTAAGAAATGACAGTATATAGTCCTTCAAGGCACAATCTTCGGGATTGCGTTGAAAATTCGCTCCCCCTTATGATGACAATCTTCTGAGTCTATGTTAAGAAAACCCAGTGGGACAAAACTTAGCGAAAAGGGGCAAATTATGATAATAGACCTTCAGGACCCAATCTTCAGGATTGTTCTTTAAGAATTTGCTCCCCCTGAAGAAGATAGTCTTTCAAGTCTGTGCATATTGTGAACATATTTCTCATAAGTTGATGTAGGCAGAGATTTAGTGAACAAATCTGCAAGATTGTCACTTGAGCGAACTTTTTCGATGGTGATTTCGCCATTCTTTTGGAGCTCATGTGGATAAAAGAATTTTGGCGTAATATGTTTTGTCATGGTTCCTTTTACATATCCACTGCTCATTTGTGCAACACAAGCTACATTGTCCTCATAAAGGATAATGGGGGTAATATCATCTTTCGCTAGACCACACGAGCCACAAATATGTCGTATCAACGATCTTAATCATACACATTCTCGTGAGGCCTTATATAAAGCAATAATCTCTGAGTGGTTAGAAGAAATAGTCACCATGGTCTGCTTAATAGACCTCTAAGAAACGACAGTACCACCATAGAGAAAAACATAACCAGTCTGGGATTTGGCGTTATGGGGATCAGATATGTAGCCAGCGTTCTAATAGCCCACCAATGTCATATCTTGGTTTCTTTTATAGAATAGTCCAAGATCTTTTGTACCTTGAAGATAGCGAAGGAAATGTTTAACGTCATTTCATTGCCTCCTTATAGGATAAGCACTATACCTTGCTAGCAAGTTCACCGCAAATGTAATATCAGGCCTGATGCAATTTGCGAGATAAAGAAGTGCTCCAATGGTGCTCAGATAGGGAACTTCTAACCCTTACATTTCTTCATTATCTTCTTTGGGTCTAAATGGGTCTTTATCCACTTCGAGGAACCGGACGACCATTGGTGTGCTAAGTGGATGAGATTTATCCATACAAAATCTCTCCAAAATCTTTTTCATGTAGGTTGACTGGTGTAGAAAAATTCCTTCTGGGAAAATGCTCGATCTGCAAGCCGAGACAAAACTTGGTTTTTCCCAAGTCTTTCATTTCAAACTCCGTCTTTAGGCATGAGCTAGCTTCTGTAAGCTCCTTGTGCATTCCAATAACATTTATATCATCAATATAGACTGATATAATACATAAGTCATTTTCGAATTTCTTTATAAACACACAATGGCAGACATCATTATTTGCATATCTCCTCTTCAGGAGGAACTCACTCAGTCAGTTATACCACATTCTACCCGACTGTTTCAAGTCGTATAGCGACCTTTATAATTTAATATTATACATGTTACGATTCTCGTTTTCTCTTAATTCAGGAATTTTAAGTCCATCAGGGACTTTCATATAAAAATATTAGCGTCTAATGATTCATATAAAAATGTGGTCATGACGTACATATACTGCATATATAAATTCATAGTTTCTGCCATATGTATTAACTTGCGGAACGTAATACAATCGCTAATAGGAGAATATTTTACATCTAAATCGATGCCGGG